TTTTTTTTTTTTTTTTTAGTGCTTGGACGCATACAAGTGAAAGATGGAACTTGGAAGAGCAGAAGAGGAGTTTCGGGTTACTGGTGTGACAGATTCTCCTGACTGTAGTCAGGGACATTTTGAGGATGAGGGTGTTACTCCAGCAGATGTTTTGTTACAGCTGACAACAGCTTGGCGTAGCGAAAGGTGTGCTCCAGTGCTCTTGCCACATAGGTTCGTGCTTTTGTGTTGCTTATGTAATGGTGCCTGTGTGTTTCTGTTGGGGGAAGGTGCGTACTTGGAGGTTCCCAAGTTTGTTAGTGGGAACTCCAGGGTGGGTGTTCAGTTAAACAGGAGTTGAAAAAGTTTTCAAAAACTTTTTAGGTACGATTTAGTGGATTGTATGATGGATCAGATCAGTGGTATGCAGGAAAATTTGCGAAATGATAAATCGAAGTTTTCACTGAAGCACGCTGTTCACAAGATGGAGCTGTACCGAACTGCGTTTCTGGTGAATGACTATGTTAGAGAGAGGTTAAAGAAGGTGACATTTTTGAGCTCTGTTTGGTACAAGAGGGCTTGTGTAATTGAGCAGGGACTGGTACACAATTTCAGATTGAAAGCAATCCGAGAAGGTGGCTCCTTGAAGACGAGTTGAGAAAAAGGGATGGGGAAACTGAACTTTTAGATTCGCGCGAGATTTGTTTTGCTCAACGGTAAAGCATTTTTTTGCACTGTGTGTTAGGTGGTTCTGGTATACTACATCCTTTTGAAAGAGGCTGCTTGGCAGGTTTTATTATTTAATTAAGTTGTTGCCCCAGTATTAGTGGCGAACATCAGTTTTAAGCACCTGCTAACTTCACTTATTTGTGCTAAAGGCTGTCGCTCTGTCTTTCTTATAGACGACACAAAAAGGCTAAAGTGGACTTTGCATTATTACTCACATTCCATAATAATCTTGAACCTTAACAACTCGTTTACCAGTGTTTCTTTTTTATTGGATTGTTTGAATAAGGATCATTTTATGTTGTCTTCGAGGTCAAGCTTATCATCGTTCAACTTTGGGAGCTTATCCTCTGGAACTTTTAGGTTTTTCCACGCAGCAGGGTCCATGATGCGTAGTTGTTTTTTGGACGAGTTACCTCTTGCTGTAAAAGCAATTCCTCTTCCGGAGGATGATGGTTCTTTAAAATCGGTATTTGTTGAGGTGAAAGCAGATGGCGCAGGTGAGGTTTCCGTCCCAACGCTGCTTGATCCCCTTGCAGAAAACCTTGTGAATTTGGAACGCAATGTCGTTTACTTATTACCTTACAAAAGTATATCCAGTTTAGTAGAACAGGACAAAGTTTTGCTTATGTAACCGTTTCTTGTTCGCGGTGGCGTACTCTTGTCTATTGCTGTAACGGGAGTCTTTAGCCCTTATTTTTTAAGGCATTTCAATTTAACGTTGTCTAGGTTCCTCAAATATTAAAATTGTTTGTAAGTTTTTAAATGTTTCATTTTGCGAGTAGTCTTTCGATTGTTCAATTCGTATTTATTTTCTGCTGTTGCGTTTCTGTTGCTGCCTGTTAATTTTTTTATGCGTGGCTTTCTAATACTTCATCTTGAAAATGACGAGGCCTTCAGCAGTTTAGCGGGTCATTTTGTTACACCACCATGAACAGTGTCATCATGCATTATTAAAGGAGAGCTTACCAGCATTATTCTCCTGTTTTGGGATGTAAAGCTGGCTCACACTTGCCTTGTTCATACGCAGAACCCATGTTTCTGTGACCCTTTCGACAAAAAGTTTTTTGTTTTTGCTTCTGACCATATATGCCTGGATCCCACTCACACGTAGTGGCTCAGAAGTACACGCAACTCAGCTTTTACCTGTTGATGTCTGCCTTGCTAAGGCCGTCTTAATCTGATTCAGGGGCGGCTGATCAGTGCGGAAGTTTTGATAATACGAACTGAACAAGTCTTAACTTGAGTTGTTTTTAGAAAGATGAGTAAGCAGAATTCTGCCGTGAGACGAGTTACTCGGAAGCGTTTTTCGAGAATCAAACAGAAAACAGCCTTTCAGTGTTGAAGAGTATCTCCTTCAGACAGACATAGATCAGAAGCATCAGTTTTTTTTTAATTTTATGAAACAAACTCGACTGCAGGACATGTAAAGCTCTTCTCGTTGAATCGTTATATCTAAACATTTGAAAAGATCCCATCACTATTCTTCCTTATCTTTAAAAACAAGAACCACGCACTAGAGCAGAAGCTGCTCGAAGTGGTTACTCAGCACAGAATAAGCATCTAACCGCTGAACCCACTCACACGTCGTATGCACGTGGCACACAGAAGGTTCCAAGGTCGTGGGAACTCACCGACCAACCGTCAGTGGAGTACACACGGAGCACAAAAAGAAAAAGAACGCTGACAAAAAATTTTTTTGATGCGGAAGTCATCTTCACGCCCTTGCGGTAGAAAACGTCATCTCATTTCAGCCGTGACTGGCGCAACGAAGACATACGAGCTTGTCCAGCTTCGTTACGTAATCCTAATCCATCTCCCAGTTGCATTTCAGCAGCAAGAATAGTGGTTTACTCCACGACGAGCCCCGTCAAACAAAATTTTACGGACTATTCTACTTACGGGGTCTTCGCAACTGCACTGCTCCCAGCATCCTCCAAAACGTAAGACCCTGGAGGGTCAGATAGCAATTTCATAAATGATGAAAGTTTCTGTATACGCCGTGTTTTTCTGTATATTCTGTATTTATGCGTGTACCGAGGAGTCTTGGAATGAATCTCGCAATTTTCTTCTCCTTGATAGTGTTTTAACGTTCAAAGCAGCTGAGAGCAAATAACAGATCATAGAACTGACTCTGTCTGTATTCGTATATTAGAGTTAAAGAAGACAATAGGAAACGTACACGTTCTGCTGTTTCCGGATTTATTGACACACGACTATTTTAGTATGATTACCACTTATGTTTCGAACAGAATTGAAGTTCCTAAGAAGGCGAGCTCTAAACTACACTAGCAAGTTAGAAGGAGTGCTTTGAGTCGGCGGTTGTAGAGTTTTCTTACCTGGAGGAGCTTCAGATACATGAAGGTCCCACAGCGAATGTCAGTTTCAAAGCGTAATGGAGAGCAAGCTGGATTAAAGTAGGACTGCCGTCTAATTATAAAGATGAACTTTGCAATGACTCTTGCTCTCGCAGAGTGTGGGTACGCGCGAATAGCACTCATTAGTTAAACTGTCAAAAATTTCATTTTTTTATCTCAATAAAATGAAATAAAGATCATCTACAAGAGACGTGAAAATTTAAGAGCGTCGAGTCACGCTTCTCGAATTTCAAGTTAAACTCAGGCAGATGCTTAAATGTGTATCCAAAACCCTGAAAGAGTTTCAAATGCTCTAGTGACATACTTAGCAAAATGCTCCCAACTCATCCCCATCTTGAAAAGTCTCTCAGATCTGCTTACAGCATTTAAAA